AGAAGTGCAAAGTACCACTAGCACGAGCCCTCAGTATTCTCTGGAGAAAGAGCTTAGATCTAGGTGAAATACCGGAGGCATTAAAGAGTGCAGACATGGCTCCTTTGCACAAGGGAGGTAGTAGAGCACTAGCTAAAAATTACAGACCAGTACCCCTAACCTCTCACATCATAAAAATTTTCCAAAGAGTGATGAGACGGCAGGTTACAAATTTCATGGACCAGCACAACCAACATAACCCGAACCAGCATGGTTTTAGAGCAGGACGATCATGACTGTCACAGCTGCTGAACCATTATGACAGAATTACAGAGGCACTGGAAGACGACCAAAACGCAGATGTGATTTACACAGATTTTGCAAAGGCATTGACAAATGCGATCATGGAGTGATAGCACACAAAATGAAGGCCATGGGCATTACGGGAAAGGTAGGCAGATGGATTTTCGGTTTCCTAACACACAGAACACAAAAAGTAGTAGTGAACAGGGCAAGATCCAGCATCAGCGAGGTCAAAAGCTCAGTGCCCCAAGGCACTGTCCTGGCACCTCTGCTGTTCCTCATCCTCATAGCAGACATAGAAAAAACACCCGGTACACTTTTGTATCATCATTTGCAGATGACACTAAAATTAGCATGAAAGTCAGTACAGTAGAGGACACTGAAAAAGTGCAGGAAGACATAAACAGGGTTTTCCAGTGGGCAGTGGAAAACATGACGTTCAATGGTGATAAGTTCCAGCTGCTTAGGTATGGAAAGAATGAAGAACTCAAAAGGAGCACTATATACAAAACTCAAGAGGGTCACCAAATAGAACGTAAGGAACACGTAAAAGACCTAGGAATAATTATGTCAGCGGACCTTTCTTTTAAAGACCATAACAAGACAAAGATCACTACAGCCAGGAAGATGACTGGGTGGATATTGAGAACTTTCAAAACAAGAGAAACTGCTGATGGTGACACTCTTCAAATCGTTAGTGCTCCCTCACTTAGAATATTGCTCCAGTGCTGACGGCCCCATTTCAGGGCAGGAGAAATATTGGAGCTGGAACAAATACAGAGATCGTTTATGGCTTGCATTGAGCCAGTAAAGCATCTGAACTACTGGGAACGCCTGCAAGTCTTGAACATGTACTCATTGGAGCGGAGGAGAGAGAGGTACATGATAATATATACCTGGAAGGTACTCGAGGGTTTGGTCCCAAATCTGTACACTGCCATAACAACATACTGGAGTGAGAGATATGGGAGGAAGTGTAAAATAAACCCAGTGAGGAGCAGGGGTGCAGTGGGGACAATAAGGGAACACTGTATCAACATCCGGGTCCAGACTTTTCAACATCTTACCAGAAGATATCAGAAACACTGCTGGAACAAGTGTTGAAGCCTTCAAGAGGAAACTAGAGAAGTATCTTCACCAGGTGCCAGATCAACCAGGCTGTGATGGATATGTGGGGCAGCTGGCCTCCAGGAGCAACAGCCTGGTTGACCAGGTGAGCACCAGATGAGCCTGGCCCATGGCCGGGCTCAGAGAGTAGATATACTCTCAAAATTCTTCAAAGGTATATATCAAAGGGAAGTGGTGGGAGCAGCTTGCGTGGCTTGTAGGATCTGGTGGTGTCTGCTTGAAGCTTGGTGATAGCAGCATTATGTGGTTGCTTGTGGGTTGGACTTCTTTTGTTGTTGTTGTTGTTTCTTGAGTATGTCTCTTCTGGTAGGGCATCTGGCAGCAAGAGTATGGTGGTCATTCTTGCAGTTCAAGCATTTAGGTGGTGAGGCAGTAGTGCAACTCTTGAAGTCATGACCCTCATGGCTGCAGGTGGAGCAGAAACTTCCTATCCTTGGTAGGGCAGTCCTTTGTGGTGTGTAAGTATGAGTAGCACTTTATAGCACTGTGAGATTTATTGGAATTTTTCTGCTTCAATGAAGGCTGGGTTGATGTAGAGTAGTGAATAGCCAGACCCTCAGTGAGAGCTCTGCTGCCATGTTGATGTCACTGAAGGTGACCTTCAGAATGGATGAAGCATTGGGTATTTAGTATGAAGTCCACCTTGGCCCAAGGGTTCTGTGCTTCGATGGATGACTTGATTTCTTCAGTAGTCTGTACAGTGATGAGTCTGTCGAGTCTCATGAGGAACACAGTTCTCCTGGCCCTCAGAGCTGGGAAGCCCTGATCTTGTAGAGTGGTTGTAGCGCTAGTGGTAGTAGTCTCTCGGCCTTGGTGTCGTCAGAGCAGATGACAATGAAGGCCTCCTTGAGCGATAGTATCACATTACATTTGACTTGCAATCTGCCACTGACGACAGCTGCAAGTGCTAACTTGGACGACTCATTGACTGTCCCACTCACTGGTTTGATCTTTACCCTGTTCGAGTAATGCATCGTGAAGTGATGCAGACTAAAGGTTCCCCTCCCCAATGGGGATTGAAGGGAGCCTCTTCTCTATTAAGACTATAAATATTTTAAGATAAGTAATGGGTATACTGTGTGTGTATTTTACTTTTTATTTTTTTAATGCCTAGTTCTATTGCTAACGTAATATATGTTAGTGTAAACTTGTTACCTGGCATTTTTGTGCATTTATAAAAGGAAAAAAATGGCATTCTGCTTTCCGGCAATGTCTGCTTTCCTGCAGTAGCCTGGAACCTAACCTGCAATATAAGTGGGGCCCTACTGTAATAATGCTTTAATTTGTTCAGAGGTGAATGACATTTAGGTATGCATGCAGAAAGCCCCTTAATATGTAGAGCATTTCAGGCAAACTTAAGACTAACTTAAGATTAATAAGACAGTGACTAATTGAGTGCTTTTATATACAGTCTCTTAGATGAATACAAGAGAATTGAATATCTTATTACTATATGCTATATAGCTTTTATCAAGTTTATTTGTTTAAAGAATTACAGGTTTGATTATGATTATAGGTAATGAGGATTCTAGCATATTAACATAATATAGACAAAATTAATGTTTTAATGGCTGTGAAGATTACAGATATTAAGAATAAGATTATATTGTCATCCAGATGTTTGTGACATTGTGAATATGCATATGTATATAGTTTTCACATATTTAGCTGATGTTGGGATGTTAAGGAGAGAAGGTGTTTATTTTAATGATATTTTTGAAGATGCTGGCTGAGACAGTGGCTCTGGAGATTTCCGGCAGAGAGTTCCAGATTTTGGGCGCTTTTATGTACATTAAATTTTTGCAATGATTTAGCTGGATACGGGAAATACCGTAGAGATTTTTGTGCCTGGTATTGTCTATGGGTCCTGTTGCAACTATCAAGTAAGTGCTTCAGGTTGGGATTAATATTAGAATTTAATGTTTTGTAAATGTAGGATCCACAGTAGTAAGAGGGAATGTTTTGTATAGTGAGTTGGTTTTGGGCATTGAGAAGTGGGGGGTGGGGGTCGAGCAGAGGACTGTATGATCATTAGTACTGCAGCATTTTGTAGGGTTATTATTGGCTTAAATAGCATAAGTGAGGTAGAGGTAGATCATTGAAACTTATAATGTAATTATTGCTGTTTGTAGTACTACGTAATAACACATCTTTGAAAGGATGCCAACTGTTTTGGACATTTTTTTTATGTGTTGGATATGAGTGTTGAATTTCAAATTGCTGTCAAGGTCCAGACCCAGAAATTTTTCCTCATTATATTTAGTAATAAGAGCATTATTAATCTTAATGTTAAGTTGGACATTACTTGCTCTGCTCCCAAACATAATGTAAAATTTTTTATCAATGTTAGGTGTAAGTTTATTGGTTTATTGGTTGATATTTTTAAGAGCTCTTCATTAACAAGTGTTGTTGAGTGATGTTGGATTTGGGTGGGAGATGACAAAAGTTGTGTCGTCAGCAAAAATAACAGGTCTAAGTTGTGATACATTAGGAAGGTCATTGATGTATAAAAGGAAAAGTAGTGGGCAAAGGATGCTTCCCTGTTGAATGCCATGTTAGGTTAAAATAGGTTATGTTGGCTTAACATATGTTAGGTTATGTTGGGTTAAGAGAGGTTACATTGGGTTATGTTAGGTTAAGATATGTTAGGTTACATTGGATTATGTTGGGTTAAGAAAGGTTATGTTGGGTTAAGATAGGTTATATTGGGTTAAGATATGATAGGTTATGTTCGGTTAAGATAGGTTACGTTAGTTGCTTGCAGTATTTATTTTTTTTTTATTTTTCAAATATTTTATTTATGCCAGAATGCTGTAGAAACAAAATGGGGTTTTTCTTTTTGCACAAAATTTAGCAATCTCCATTGCACAAGCCAATTAATATTAGTCACTTTACATTATAAATTAAGTATAAGCTCTCACTTGCCCCTAAACTAAATATTTGCTGTAATTTTTAAAAACGTACTATGTATTTAATCAAGCTATTCATACCCTGGGAAAAAAAATAGTTGTTTTTGCAAAAAAGCAGTTCGTTTGATGTGTCAGAATGAACCTCAGGTTATGTTAGGTTATGTAGCGCTGTGCAACCTTTATGAGTTTAAAGCTTAATTTGATGATAATAATAATAATAATAATAATAATAATAATAATAATAATAATAATAATAATAATAACTATAATGTAATCTTGATCTACAAAAATATTTCTGACAGCTGTCACATTAGATGCATGTTTTTTAAACATTCACAACTTGCATACTTTAACAAGAAATACTGTAATACTGATGTTAGCCATTTTTGTGTTTTACTGGTAGACTTATAGACAATTCCCAGGGTCTATTCCCTGTGGAGTGGTCCCAGACCATACTCAGAATAACCAAACAATTCTAGTTATATGCAAACCATACAACACAATTAAACTCACTCTCATTCTGTTAAAATTGTTTTTCTATTTTTGATGGTCACTTTCATTAATAATTCCCTTAGTATTCTATACAGTCTCTTGTGTTGTGAGTTGTACACATTTACAGTTGTGGATTTTTTTATTCAGGACAGATGTACAGTACTGTAGAGGGATACTTTTCTTTTTCAGCATCAAAAAATTCCTATATACATATGGTATGATGGCTATGACCCTCATGTGGAAGAAAACTATAAGGGTCGGGCCTCGCTGGTCTCTCCCGACACCACCTATGGGCTGGCCTCGCTCAATATCACCTCTGTCAAGGAAGATGACCAAGGCTGGTATGTGTGTAATGTGTTCTACCTCGATCGTAGCGGCGTTGAAAATGGTACCTGGATACACCTTGATGTTCACGGTAAGAACTGTCTGCCTTTTATACATGTTTTTCTTCATCCTGCTCAACGTTTAATCCATCTGTCTTGCTATAATCCTTTCACCTCATACATCACTTACCCATTCATCATTTTCTGTTCAAACATCTTAGCAGATTTCCCTCCAGTCTAATAATTTGTCTGAGTGCCAAACAGCTGCTGTACATAATTTGCATATTATGCAGATGTAAACAGTAAATAATTGCAGTCACATGTTAGTTAATATCATTGTGTCCCAATGGAATCCACAGCTTATGTATGTTGCTTTATAGTTTTTATTAGACCAGTGAAATAATGTAGTTATAAACATATTTAATCCTCATAAATGTTTCCATACATGCTTAAACATTTCACAGATATTTAGGTTTTATAATAGATTGCAATAAGTTGTTGAATCACTTTTTGTTTACAACCTTTGTTGTGAACTAAGTTTTTGGAATAATGCTGTAGCTCAGTTTCTGTATTGTGGAGTCTGTATATGCTTCTTTACATGTTCTTGAAAAGTTAAGATATTAATTCAGTAGTTGTGAAAAGCAGAGTCCACAGAAAAATGCATTGAAATATTCTTCTCCATTCACACAGCTCTCTGCCTCTTGTCTCTTAGCTAATTTATAAATCTGTCTTCTCATTCACGTATATTTTTGGTCATCACACTCCTCATAAATGTTCCCTCTTGATCGTGCCATTCCTTTATGCACTGTATTTCTCTGTTTTTCATTTATTTTATTATGTGATATACACTTTAAATATGAACAGTTGAACATTATTTAAAGTAAACTTTCGATATAATGGACTAATAGAGGCTGGGTAGAGGGAGGGGTGGCCAATAATGGCAATTGTGGTGGATAGAGAAAAGATTGTTTTGCTGTGGTAGTATTGGTACTAGACAGTTCTGTAACTGGTAGTCTGTCTATTGTTTCGAAGAGTTCTGCAGCAGAGTTTGTTCCATTCTTCCAGAGTCCATTTTATAGAGGTCCATTATATCAAGGGGTTACTGTACTGTTGATAGTCATTATAAGAAAAATAAGTGATATTTTTGAGAGTAGCACATAATGAAGATGCTTATTATAAATGCAATGGTTCATAAATTATATAAAATGTGTTCAGTATTCAAGATTGTAAAAGATATGCTCAAATGTGGTATAATGTATACATATATAGTAATGTATATATAAATAATTTACATACAGATACAAAAGTGAAATAGCAAATAATGCATGGCATATTTTTCCTCATGAATTGCAGCACCTCCCCGATTTACCACGACCCCCGATGATGTTACCTATGTCAATATCGGGGATTCCATCATTCTTAACTGCGAGGCTGAGGGAACTCCAAAGCCAGAAATTATGTGGTTCAGAGATAGCGAACCAGTTGAACCATCAGACACTGTTGGCATCTTCAATGATGGCACAGAGCTTCGAATTAACAAGATACGTGACCAAGATATTGGGGACTATGTATGTGTCTCTCGGAATGCTGAGGGAAGAGTTCATCATGAAGCCAAAGTTGTTATTGCAGGCACGTTTTAATGATAACCCTTGTTCTGTTCATTATTCTTTTAAAGAATAAAAAGGCACAATACTGTGATTGGAACAAATTACCCTGCACATAGGAGAAAAAACCTGTGACAACATTTCAGTCCAAGTCAGACCGAAATGTTATAAGTTTCTTTCTTCTATGTGTGGGTTATTTGTGTATGATTCTTTTCTCAGGCTACACGCTAAAAAATTACTTGTTGTACATCTACTACATTTCTCCTGATTATTTTTGTCCATTTTTTCTCTTAATTGTGTATTTCTGTTAATCCAGTATCTTCTAATTGTCACATTTTCATGTTAATTGGGGGGGCATTACTTCCTTTTTGTACATGTGTTTTGAAGAGCACAATCAATAGTGACAGAGTTATTTGTCTCAACTTATTGCAATTCATTTACATACATTTAGTGTTTTCTTTAGATTTTTAGTGAAGAATTTTATATACTGTGCCATCACCAAAGAGGAATTTCATTCATTAGTACAGAACAGTATATATAATTGGGTACGCTAAAAAATGTTTTGCTCGTGTTTTGTTTGCTCTACTATTTATATATATTACTTGTATATTTCCTCATGAATTTTTTTTTGTGTTTGGGGAATGTATTGAATTGAACATTGTAAGATGTGAGTAAAATAATGATAATGATGATGGTTTTAATTACAGGTGGGGCGGTGATTGTCACACCTCCACACAACCAGACAAGACAGGAAGGTGAGAAGGTTGAATTTCCATGTGAAGCAAAAGCACTTCCAGGAAATGTAACTGTTACCTGGAAGAGAGAAGAGGTCTTTATTGATAAACTTTCCTGGCTTAGACACTCGTTCTATCGTCAGGAGAGATGGTACACTAATTATTAATCCAACAAGTGCAGATGATGGTGGCTTTTTCACCTGTGAAGTTTCTAATGGAATTGGAACACCCCAGAAAGCTACTGCCTACCTTAATGTTGAATGTAAGTACAAGGTCATGCTTGTTGCTCTGATATTGAATGTAAGTAAAAGATCATGCTTGTTCTAATATTGAGTGTAAGTAAAAGGTCATGCTTGTTGTTCTGATGTTGAATGTAAGTAAAAGGTTACATTTCACATAATCTTGAAGTGCAGCACACTGCACACTGCAGGGCCCCTTCTTATAAATAATTTGCACTTTTGGCTTTTCAGTCTACAAACAATTTCTCTGTATGGAAAACAACACAGGATAGTTTTACATAATAATAATAATAATAATAATAATAATAATTTCAAAAGTATACAAGTCATTGTGTTTTTGTGAAAAGCCCATGGTATGCACAGTATTTCAGCAGACTAGCCAGGACTATCACGACTTAATGCTGAAAAGAAATTACATTGGTGTGAAGCTGTTTTAGTTTGAGTAACAAGGGAAATAATGCTGATGGTGGCACTCTTCAAATTGCTAGCACTCTCTCATTTAAAATATTGCTCAGTGCTGACGGCCCCATTCAAAGCAGGAGAAATATCAGAACTGGAACAAATACAGAGATCATTTATGGCTCACATTGAGCCAGCAAAACACCTAAATTACAAGGAATGCCTTCAACTCTTGAACATGTACTCATTGGAGCGGAGGAGAGAGAGATACATGATAATACGTATATACCAGGAAAGTACTTGAGGGCCTGATCCCAAATCTGCACACTGCCATAACAACATACTGGAGTGAGAGATATTGGAGGATGTGCAAAATAAACCCAGGAGCAGGGGTGTGGCGGGGACAATAAGGAAATGCTGTATCAACATCCGGGGTCCCAGACTATTCAACAACTTACCAGAAGATATCAGAAACATGGCTGGAACAAGTGGACAAGTATCTTCACCAGGTGCCAGATCACCCAGGCTGTGATGGATATGTAGGGTAGTGGGCCTCCAGCAGCAACAGCCTGGTTGACCAGGCAAACACCAGACGAGCCTGGCCCATGGCCGGGATCCGAGAGTAGTGAAACTATTGAAACTCTTCAAAGGTATATCAAAGGTAAAGGTACCAATAGGAAGGGATTCAAGGAAACTGGTTAGCTGGACTTAAATCCTGGAAGCAGGGAGTACAGTGCCTGCATGCTGAAGAAGGGGTGGAGATATGTTGCAGTTTTTGAACTGTAGTATCATTATGCCTCTGGCAAGACAGTGATGGAGTGAGTGAAGATGAAAGTGTTTCTTTTTTTTGGGTCACTCTGCCTCGATGTGTTAAAAAACAATATGACACTTGTGTGTATAGGCTGTATATGAAATATCAGTGGATTTTGTGTTTAGACTTGGGGTCTCATCCACAAGCTATCTCGTTATATTCCAAAATTTGACACTTCAGCCCCAAGAATTTCATATTAGAGATACTCAACCTGTAGTAATAATATTGTGATAAAGATTAAAAAAAAGTTTTCATTAACACATTGGCTGTTTCCCGCCAAGGCAGGGTGAATCACTCCATTTGCTATTAGATTATTAGTGTTGTTTGTGATTTGGATAAATATTAATTTTTCAGTAAACTGGTTGAATCCCACTGAGGCAGGGTGACCTAAAAAGAAAAGTGAAAGTTTTTCTCTTGAAATTTAATAATTTATACAGGAGAAGGGGTTACTAGCCCTCTGCTCCCTAGGATAAATATAATCACTATACAGTGGAACCTTGGTTTTTGTGATTAATCTGTTCGAAAAGGTCTGACAATAAACTGAATCCTACAAACACTGAAGCAATATTTCTCATAAGATATAATGCAAATCCAATTAATCCTTCCCAGACACCCAAAAATATTAACAAAAAATGTATTTTATAGAGAATAACTATAGTTTTACCTAGGTAGTAGGTTGGTAGACAGCAACCGCCCAGGGAGGTACTACCGTTCTGCCAAGTGAGTGTAAAACGAAAGCCTATAATTGTTTTACATGATGGTAGGATTGCTGGTGTCCTTTGTCTGTCTCATAAACATGCAAGATTTCAGGTATGTTTTGCTACTTCTACTTACACGTAAGTCACACTACACATACATGTACAAGCATATATATATACACACGCCTCTGGGTTTTCTGCTATTTTCTTTCTAGTTCTTGTTCTTGTTTATTTCCTCTTATCTCCATGGGGAAGTGGAACAGAATTCTTCCTCCGTAAGCCATGCGTGTCGTAAGAGGCGACTGAAATGCTGGGAGCAAGGGGCTGGTAACCCCTTCTCCTGTATATATTACTAAATTTGAAAGGAGAAACTTTCGTTCTTCCTTTTGGGCCACCCCACCTCAGTGGGATACGGCCGATGTGTTGAAAGAAAGAAAGAACTATAGTTTTACCTAGGTAGTAGGTTGGTAGACAGCAACCGCCCAGGGAGGTACTACCGTCCTGCCAAGTGAGTGTAAAACGAAAGCCTGTAATTGTTTTACATGATGGTAGGATTGCTGGTGTCCATTTTTCTGTCTCGTAAACATGCAAGATTTCAGGTACGTCTTGCTACTTCTTCTTACACTTAGGTCACACTACACATACATGTACAAGCATATATGTATGTACACACCCCTCTGGGTTTTTTTCTATTTTCTTACTAGTCCTTGTTCTTGTTTATTTCCTGTTCTCTCCATAGGGAAGTGGAACAGAATTCTTCCTCCATAAGCCATGCGTGTTGTAAGAGGCGACTAAAATGCCATGGGCTAGTAATCCCTTCTCCTGTATATATTACTAAATGTAAAAGGAGAAGCTTTCGTTTTTCTTTTTGGGCCACCCTGCCTCATTGGGATATGGCCGGTGTGTTGAAGGAAGAGCTATAGTTTTACATACAAACTAGGGCATACAAAAATTGAGGTTCCACTGTATATTCATATTGGGTTTCATTATCAAAAACTGAATTTGCTGACATTAAATATTTAGGGCTTCTTAGATTGTAAAAAAAAAAAAACAAAAAAAAAAAAAACAATAAATTTGCATATATTTTCAGACTGTCAACCTTACTGTAAACTCCGGAGATATCACTACATACTAGTATGGCTTACGCACCAGGGTTATTGACATACTAGTATGCCTAAATTCTAGCGCCTTCAAATCTAGTGAGAGAAAGCTGGTAGGCCTACATATGAAAGAATGGGTCTATGTCGCCAGTGTGCACAGTATAAAAAAAATCCTGCAGCACACAGTGCATAATCAGAAAAAAAACTCCGACCGTGTTATTGGTTTAAAACAGCGGCTTTGCAGTGTATTTTCGTATGGTATTTATGGTTGTATTTTAGTTTTCCAGGTCTCATTTTATAGAATGGGAGACATATTACAGAAATTGAGATGATTTCGATTGATTTCATAATGAAAAGTACCTTAAAATTGAACTTAAAGTAGCAGAAATGTTCGATTTTTACCAAAGTTCAAAAGTAAACAAATCATGCCGAGCGTCCAATATACGTCAACTGGTGAGTCTAATATTCTTTCATGAGTGCACTGATGTTACTTATACCATTTCTACACTAATGCAGTAGTCTGCATAACAGTAAATCTTCTATTTTTTGTGAGAGTAAAAATTCAAAGTGGAAAGCAAAAGAGATGTAAGAGGGGCCTGGGGACGTGACTAATGAGCAGAGAAAATTGCTATTTTAGTGCCAGGAATATCTGTCTGGACCCTATTTGTAAATTGGCATCTTCTGATTTTTGTGTAAAATTGGCAAAATTGCCAATTTCTGACCACTTTATTGGATAGTTGACATCAGTAAATGGGTGGTTTCTTGTACTCATTCGATAAAAAAAATGGAGTTCTAGCGAAATAGATATGATTTTTGTCGACTAGTACACTGGAATTGGCCAAAAATAGGACTCAAAGTGAGCGAAATCGCCGATGCGTAAACGTTGTCGAGACCGCTAACTTCGCGAGAGCATAATTCCGTAAGTTTTCCATCAAATTTCATACTTTTGATGTCATTATGATCGGGAAAAGATTCTCTATCACTTCATAAGAAAAAATAATTTTTTTTCTGAAAAATTTTCGACTCTGAGAACGAGTTTAGGAGAGGGCCTCTCAACCCTGAAAGGGTTAAGAAGAAATACTAAAATGCTGGAGGTTTACAAAATATTGGTAAAGTCTGAGTGAACACCATTTCATTTCAGTGTTGTAGGAAATAAGGGTACCTAGGAGTTGGCAGGAACAGGAAATAACACATAAATAACAGTTTTAAAAATATTGCAACAGATTACAAGTACATTGATACCCTGAATTTCTGTTGTAATTCATTCCAGAAGGCTGTTCGAGTGCTGTTACCAAACAAATTTGTTCCCATGAGAAATAATGTAAATTAGATTAGTCCGTTTTGAAAATCTCCAAAAATACATTTACAAAAGCACTTGCAAAAATACACTTACATAATTGTTCAAGTTGGGAGCTGTTCGAAATTCGAGGTACCACTGTAAAATACAAATACAAAATTTAGAGGATGAATGCAATTAGGAGAGTACATTAAGAATTAGTTAATTTGTTCCCTATTACAATAGGGTTGTAATTAGATGAAATGTGGATATTGTAAGAAAAATATTTTTTAAATGGATTCATTTAGATTACTTTTGTCTGTGGCAGTATAGCATGTGGAGAGGAGAATAAACATAGACTCCACACTATTAGAAGGTGACACAATATATAAGACTATATAATTAATAATATATAAGACTATAGAATAAACACCACTAACATTTATGAACAGTATTAGACTATCAGAACCAAGGCATTACACAAAAATATGCAGGATTTGTTGAAATTAAATAGCCACTGATTGATGCAATATTGTCAATGACATATTAATTATTTGGAATGAAAAGTACTGTTCCTAGACTGATATAGTCACTCATGGAATGTGTGATACTACTCAGTAAACTCTCCCCTCAGAGCAAAATCTAAAAAAAAAAAAAGAAAAAGGAGGCAGGGGGGACTATTTGTGTTTTAAGTGGACCTTCTGAGACTGGCTGAGCCTGGTGATGTTAGGGAGAAATC